TGAGTTTTAATTTTGAATATTGGAATAAACATAATTACATCGTAACAAATGAAAAAAATAACAAAAAGAAATTTTTTGAGATGCCGTGAACGAAGTCACGAGGCATCCATTTGTCACGAGATCGTGAACCTGGCCCTGACCCTGACCTGACCCGATAAGTGATTAGTAAGTACTGATGTATTGTTTGATAACTGGGATGATGATTTGTGTGATGAGGTATTGTTTGATTAATGAGTGACGGTAAGTATGAGATCATTGAAATTGACTATTTAAAGGGAAAAAAGTGGAAGTTCGTTTCCCCTCTTTCGTCTTTACTGCAAGCTCGACGCAAGTCTAGCATTGTCGAAATTACCCCACCGGATGAATGAGGGAAACGAATGGATATCAGGATTCGTTTAGTCTGTATGGGTTGTGATAGCCGGGCGGACAGCCCGGATATCTATGTAAGTTGGTAGCCCAACCAAACAAGTTGGATACCAAAAAACATGAGCAAGAGCAAGTGAGAGAAGTATAGGCGAAGTAGTAGTTAACACGATCCTAGGAAACGACTGCGGACCACGTGAGCAGCGAGGCGATATCCCAATTAGTATATTTCGTAGTTGTGTGAACCTTTTCGTGTGATCGAGTGACAGATCATGTTAATATGAGTTTGCCAGATAACTACTAATTATCAAGGCTATCTATCGTGGCAATATTATTAGAACTTCGTACGATTATTCAGTATTAAACCCTAAGATCATTATGCGATGAGAAGTACATTAACAAATATCAAAATAAATAAATAAATAAATAAAATAAAATAAAAGTCAGTTTAAAAGTAAAATAGTAAAACATAGAAAAGAATAAATATACCATTTACTTATTGTTTATAAGCTACAAATATCTTGGCGATACTAAAAAAAAAAAGTTTAAATCGCATAGTTTAAATAGATTACAAGCTAAATAGAAAGTTTAAAATACTCAAAAAGTAGCCCTCATCTAACTTCTGAATTACCTCACAGATTACCAAATTATTTTGACGTCTTGTAGTGAAGAAGGTACAGTTTTTAAATTTTTACACCACAACTCTGCGAATTCGTATTCGAGGCTGCGAATCAATTCTTGTGATTCTCGTGACGGAAAATCGTTACCTTAATAATACTTTATTATAACAAGATGATCTACAAAAATCAGCCAATCACAATAAAAGTTCGCTATGCTTACATGATAAAGACTCAATTATACAGGAAATCATCTGATCTAGCTCGATAAACACCCCAAAGTTGCATGCGTCATTGTCAAAGGAATGAGTATTCTCTGAGAAGAATGAATGGTGCCTATAGCGAATGATAATAAATAAAAAGATCCAGTAGATTTTTGCCGGAATAGATCAGTGCTTTATTGGAGAACGAACGTGAGGTAATCCAAAGTATATGATGATTCTGTTACTTTTGTAATTTAAAAAAATATTTGTGCATTAGACTATAATTCAATTGACCTAATACAACTGATAAATATTCGTTACTGCTGCATAAAATAAACTCTTTTGCATTTTTCATCTCCAAAATTATTGCAGTTTGCAAAAAGGTGTGAACTCTGCATATCAAGATGCCATGTAAAATCAAATGATTTTAAGAGAAATTTATAGATTTCAGTGAATATAAAAATATGTTAGAAAATATAACTGGTCTAGAATCCCAAAATTCCATCGATCATCACAAAAATCATGGGGTCACACTTTTTGCAAAGTGGAATAATATTCTTGTCATTTATTAGATGCGGAAAGGTAATAGGTCTCATAAAATTAGCAAACTTGGAATCAATATAAATGTATGAAGAAATAGAATCTTTTATGATTCCTAATTTACATACAGTACGACTCAAATATTCTTGAGAAATCGATTTATCTAAATGCACAAGTTTTTTTACATAAAGCAAAAAAAAAAAAAAGATTAAAATAGATAAGATAAACGAATAGAAAAATTAACAAAATAAAATTGCATTCTTATCTTTTTTAAATCGCTCTATCTTTAATTAAAAACGGCCGAGTTGCAATTATATCCATTAGACGAGAAGATTACGACATCTGTATTAAAGTTTTACGATATCAACTATCAGAATCTTGAATTGGACCTAAGTCGCAAATTATATACAATGCAATCGAAATTCTTTAGGACCTGAATGATTTCGTAAATTTGATAAAAACGTCTGAGAAGTTCACAAATAAAGTCAATATGAAATGTAGTTACAAGGGAAAATTTAAAAAATTCTCTACAAATAAGGTGAAATTGCTTTGTAACTACTATACTTGTAATAATATGATAAAACAATAATATATGAATAAACAACTTTACAATTTATTGCGGTTTGATTGAAAATTGAATAGATTCGGAATTAAATTTTGTCACATTTACCTGTAAAACATGTAGTCTTTTAGGAGCAGTTTCTATGATTGACATGTGCATGAGAATGTTACTTGAAACAACTTTAGTGCATGCATAATCGTTATTTGCATATTAATTATGTAATTCAATTTCTTTTGCATATTTAAACGATTAGTGTACAACGATCGATAAAAACAATTAAATGATCTACTCATTAATTATCATCTTTGTTATTTTAAGTTTAAGCAAATACAAATTTCAAGTAGAGTCAAATATATATGATACAATAGTAAAGCTTACATTATTTCATATATATATATATATATATATATATATATATTTGAGATCTAAATTAGGAGACGAGTTAATAGTCAGATAATTATTAATTAGCGATAGAATACTGTATATCATTATTAGTTATTAATGTTATTTCGCATTATTTATTTTCTCTAATTAAACTACTTGTTGCGATAAATATCAAATATAAGTAGATAAATATTTATAGCACACATGCTTGTATGTACCGGTATTTATACTATGGGGATTGACAATTGTATATTCATGTATTGTTTCTGTGAGTTTAATAAATATTAATATTGGTTTGGCATATATTTTTCTAAAATCTTTACCGGCGTTAAAATTAACAACGAAATTAAATAAGCAGTTATAGAAATTTCTATTTTAGGTGGAATTGCATTTTATACGGAAAAATATATATAATTGTGTTACTAACAATTAGTTCACTGCAGAACATAATTTAATTAAAGCGTTATGTGTACAAAAAAAGAATTTTCGGATAGTTTTTCTATAATATTAGCTAAAAGAGGTAAATTATCATTAGTGTTGTAATATTAAAAATTAATTTTAATATATAGTTTACATTTATAGTTTACTATAATGGTTAAACTCTCTAAAATGTTCGAATTAAAGAACATGGAAATTAAAAATATAAATTGAGGTGTAATTCGCAATTGCGTTTTGGACTTTTGAACCTCTCTCTCTCTTTTCATTTCCTTAAACCTTACACCATTAATACCTTAATCCTTAACACATTAATTCCTCTAATATTTCTAAACCTCTTTGTAATCATGCTCGTGACTAAAATTCTGTCTGTTGCTGTTGCCATTATAGCCACTCTCACCATAAATGCTGACGCAAAGTTATTCCGTACAAATGCTGAACTTAATATCCGCGAGCAACCATCTACAAATGCCAAAATTATCCGTGTTGCTCCTAAAGGTTCTAATGTCAATGTTATCTGTCAAACTACTGGTGACACTGTTAATGGCAAAAACACTTGGGACAAATTAGCAGATGGCTCCTATTGTTTTGATGGTTACGTAAATGGTGCTGTTGGCCTACCACGCTGCGATAATCCTCCTCCTCCTCCTCCTCCTGCTAATCCTCCATCTACATCAGCTAATAATGGTAAAATTAATGATGATGGTTTAAATATTATAAAAGAATTTGAGGGATTTAAACCTAATTTTTATAATGATCCAGCTGTAAGCTTAATATATTCTTATTTTATATTACTCAATTGTTAGACTTTTAATTAAATAAAATATTGACTTATCACAATTTTCAGGGTATAAGGTCTATAGGCTATGGTCATAATTGCAAAGCCGATCCAAATAAATGTAATAATATTCACCCTCCAATCACTACTGCTCAAGGAGAAGATTTACTTAGGAGTGATGTGGCTCCTAAAGAGGATTGCGTTAAAAAACTTACCCCTGCTAATATCGATTCAAACAAATTCTCTGCTTTAGTTTCTTTTGCTTATAACCTTGGATGTCCTTACCTTGGAAGTTCTTCTTTACTTAAGAAACTTAATGCTGGTGATATAAAAGGTGCTGCTAATGAATTTGCTTTATACAACAAAGGTGGTGGCAGAGTGCTTCCTGGTCTAGTAAGACGTCGTAAAGCCGAGAGAGATTTATTTTGCAAAAGTGGTGGATGTTAACACATCCAGTTTAGTTATATTTTTTTATTTATTAGATTATTTAAATTTATAAAGGCTTGATTCTTAGAGGCTAGCCTAATCATCAAAGTTAATGGTGATAAGTTTAAGGGTCTAACAAGATGTCTTTAAACTGAAAGAGATCTATTTTGCAAAGTGGTGGATGTTTATGCGTTTTATTTAGTTATACATGTTTATTTAATAAATTATAATTACAGAGGCTTAAATTTATTGATGTTAATCTATTGATAATAATAATGTAATTATTATTATGAGATCAAAATAAATTTTCATTTTTTGTAATTTTTTGAGTTACAGTAACGGGTTTTAATATCTAGCTGAATGGAATTTTCGAGAATGCGAAATCCAAAAAGCTGACAGTACGCACGTATGAATTAATGTTGCACGAATATGCATATAACACTGGCTGGATGTATTCATTTTAGGCGTGCATTTCAACATTCACAAAAAAATTGTAAAAAAAAAACAATAAAATTATTTTATAAAATTTCATAGTTATTAGAATTATTTATGTTTTTTTATTTTATTTTATTTTATTTTATTTTTGCAACCTGAAATTTGATTGGCCAATATTACACGGAAAGACTTTTTTTAATCATTCTTATCAGTGATTGCATATTACATAAGTATAGGGTTCATGCATGACCCGCGTGCCAGGAATATTTATTGGCTAAAAAGTTGAGATTATCAGTAAAGTTTAATTAGGCACTTTTTTTTGTTTTATAAATACTTTTATTTAATTAGAGATTTTTCTGTCTGTTGTCTTGCTTGAACTAGATTATGTGTTTAAACTTTTTATTCTACTGGTATTTTTGTTCTATTATTATAGAAATAGAATTTGTCACTTTAATCAAGAACAATATTGAGAAGTAAATTCAATAAATAGAGAGTAGAGCTTGGCCCTGTTGTGTTGCCTGATGATATATGTTATAAGATATTTATCATATATCAAGAAAAATTTTAGATAAATCTGGTAATCTGTTATCTATTAAATTTTTCATTCTATTACGAAGATAAACTGCCCTATATACAATATTTTGAGCTGATTCATGTAAAATATTATATTAGTTGCCTTTACTATAATAATATCTTAGCTTTTTTTAAATATTGTTGAAGTTTTGATTTTAATATTATAATATTTGATTCAGCTAAGCCTAGACAAAGAATTTTTAAAGTAAGAAGCTTTCCATTTTTATTTGTATTATAAATCAATTCATGCAGTTTATTTCTACTTTTAGGTTAAATTTCTTTTAAATGTTGATATCCTTGTTTTGAGTTTACAATTTCATTATTTTTATTAAAATTTGCAAGAATATTTCCAATAGTAGATTTAGAAATATCAGTAGCCTTGGTCCAGAATTCATCTAAAGTTTAAAACTCAATTGTAGCAAGATTAAAGTTACAATAAATTACCATTCTTGAATTAGATTAGTTGAAGGATTTGACAATTCATGAATACAAGAATATGATGAAATATTATAATTAATAGTAGAGAATCAAAGATTCATACTTCTTGAAATAAGGTTCATGCAGAATGATTACTAATATTATTAACAAACTTCTTATATGCAGCTTGATAAGCAGATTGAAATATAGAAAAAATAAATCTGGTTGTGTGTTAAGTTTAAGAAGTACATCAGATATTGGTTGAATTAAAGTTGTCAATAACCTTTCTATATTAATTGCATTTTCTAATTGCTCAATACGATTTTTGATAAATGGAAATACAAGCAAATTCTTAGTCTGAAAAAAATCTAAGTCATGTACAAATTACTAATCATAATTTTTAATAAATATCCAATATATATATACACCTATAATCTTGTTAACTGGTGAGGATATTTATAATTTTCTCAATTATTAATGACAATGTACGTTCTTTTTGCTCTTTAACATAAGAATTCTGAATTAATTGTAAATATTCTTCTATATAAAAAGCTATTTTATTTCATAAATTCCACCATATTATATTAGGTAGTAAAATATTAGTTGGTTGCAAGATTCTATTAAAGTATAAAAAAGTTATATATCTTGCATGTTGACTCTTTGCAGGAGCTAATATTTTTTTAATTTTTGCTAATAAAGTGTGAACTATAGTAAAATGCTCAATAGACACTCATGCTTCACTAAATATGATTAAAGAATATAAATTAAAAAAATTAATTTATAGCATAAAATTAATTAATAACTTTATATAACTTTATTATAATTTAATTATTTTTACACTACTTAATCAATTTATTATATATGCCAAGCAAGTTTAATGTATAATTTATAGCATAATTGGTTTGAGTACTTCATAAACATACTTCTTCATGTATGCTGCAGAATCTGATACAATTAAATATATATTACCAAATAGAATATTCTATTCAACCAAAATTTG